CCCCCCCCCCCCCTTTTTATTTTATTTATTTATCCTTTTTTTTTGTTTTTGTTATTGCTGGTTCTTTGCAATCCTCATGCAATTCAAAGGTAATGCATAATTGCAGCAGAGGTCGCTGTCAGAGAACGGGACGCAAAGCTGTGGCCTTATATTCTGTTCTGCATTGCACGTGTAGTTTGTTATTAGTATAACTTGGTCTCACTGTAGGGAGAGCTCAAGTTTCGTAATGCTGTGGTATGGCTGTATTGTCCCGCCTCTGCCCCCCCCTTTTTTTTTTTCCTTCTTCTTTTTTCCCCCAATTCCTCTAGCCTTGCCTTACGCTGAGCAACTCCGGATGGCGCCACAGATGTATTGTCCCTGTCTTGTTTAAGCATGCCTTAAAGGAGAACTATGAGGTGAGTGCTTTTCACTCACCTCCTAGTTCTAGCCGACCTGCGACAATGAGACTGTCACAGGTCGGCTCAGTAGATCGGGAACTGAGAGAACACATACTGGCGTTTGCTCACTTCTCGATCCTGTCACGGCTCTCTGCCGTGACAGGGGAGGGGCTGGAATCCCAACCTCCCCGCTCCGATCCTCCAGCGCTGACTGGCGGAACGGACGGGGGAGGGGGCGGGTACAGCTGGCTCTGCCTCTAGATAGGCAGAGCCAGCTGTCACTCATGCAGCTGGGCGGATCCAGACATAATTGTCAGGATCCGCTTCAGCTGCTGCGTCTCAGTATACCGCGAGCTGTAGCTCACGGTAAACTGAGCTTAGGGTGACGGGAGGATGCTAGTTTGTGTCCTCCCGTTACCCTAAGGAGAACTATGGGGAAAAGCCCTAACCCCATAGTTCTCCTTTAATGTAACTTCTTTGTAATGGCATTATACATAAGCTGCACCTTGCCGTGCTCTGTCTCTCATCAACACATGTTTGGTTTACCCACCCCTGTTTTACCTTCCCTCTCCATCCTGCTCTTCCTGCCACTCCCCTCAGCCTCAGATTCTCCTACCGTCGAATCCCCCTGGGTGCTGGATATCCTAAGTCCTGATCTTGTTTTGTTATTGTTACCTACTGACTCCCAATTGAGTGATGCTACATTGTTTACATATGAACAGCAGTTTAGAATTCAGTTCCGTCAGGAGTGGTTGAAGAGGCTGTCCCACGTTGGGATCCTCACTTCCCCATCTGAACTGAGGTTCAATATGCCACTTAGACTTCCACTGCCCGATCCGACAGGTTTGCCCTGTATTCCCTCTGCCGAGATTCCAAATTGGGTGCCAGATAGTCCCCTTGGTTTACTCGCCCACGACTCGTACCCCCAGTGGCCGACTACAGATGATCTACCTTACTGCAGGATAGGGTGATATATCCCCTTTCTTTCGGGTTGTTGTATATTTCTGTAGGTCCTTCCTTTCCCTCCTTGTTTGTGTCTTCTCTCTTTTCTTAGCCCCACTTCCCATTCCTTCCTGTCCCTTCTTCCTTGGCCTCTTTCTTTTCCTGTCCACTACCATCCATCCTCCTTCCTTCTCTCTTTCTTCCTTCTCCTCCCCACTATCTTACCTCTTCATCCTCATCTTTCTCCCCTCCTCCTTTTTTCTCCATGTCCCCACTTACTGTCATGACTTCTCTTGGCCCCACCTCTCTCCCCGCCCCTCCACTTGTAAACTTTATCTATCAATGCCAAAGGTTTAAAAATCCCGGAAAAACTTTCCCAATTCCTCAGAGCCTTTTCTCACCACAAAGCGCAGATAGTACTGCTTCAGGCAACCCATTTTCAAGGAGATGCCATTCCCCGACTGTATAACTGACAATTTCCCACAATTTACCATTCCACGTCTCCACGCTCTAAGACTAAGGGGATGTCCACGCTATTCTCCTCTCGAACTGATTTCCAACTTGACGCCCAATTGATCGATCCCAAGGGGCGCTATCTCTTGCTGAAAGGTAAACTAAACAACACCCCAGTGACCATTTACAGTCATAATGTCCAACAAATCCAATTTTTCAGGAAGCTCTGCTCCCTACTGAGGGATTTCATGGAGGGGATGCTCCTCCTAGGGGGTGGTTATAATGTGCCCTTGAACCCCCTAATAGATGCCTCTTCTGGCAGATCTTCCATCCCCTTCCGATGCTTGCACCTGATTTAGAGGCTCTTGACTTCTCTGCACCTCCATGACACTTGAAGATTTCTCCACCCCACGGTGAAGGATTTCACTTTTCTCCCACCCACATTCTAGTTACTCTAGACTAGATTACTTTTTTCTCACCCAATGGGACCTGCCCAACTTGTCGAAGGCCATGATTGAACCCATGGTCCTCTCTGACCATGGTCCTATTTCCATGACCATTCTATTTCCCCAACACATCACACATTCTCGTATCTGGAAACTTAATCCTGCTACCTTAGGGGACGCCGCTCAGTGTCCCATCTCAAAACCAAGCTTTCTGAATATTTTTCTCTAAATGAAGGCACGTGCTCCTCTTTGCTCATGACCTGGGAAGCTCATAAAAGTGTAATCAGAGGAGAATTCATTCGCATTCAGGCCCATATCAACAAGCAAAGGAGAGCTTGATGCTCTGCCCTGCTAGCTCGAATTGCCGAGTTGGAGGAACTCCACAAACGCTCCCTAGCTCTGTCTCATTTAACGGAATTATCCTAGGCCCGTAACGATCTTCTCCACCTCTTACAGGCCAATACCAGGAAGGCTTTTACCGCTCGCAGTAAAATTAACTACTAAATAAGCAATAAAGGTGATAAGTTTATGGCCAGGCGCTGAAACGCTAGCTCAAACCAGTGGATGCAGTGGCGGAAATGGAAGAGCTTATACACTCCAGCAAAGAGGATATGTCTCGTCTCCTGAAGACTTGGACGGCATGGTACCTGTTCAAGGACTCGGACACAGATACTACACTCACTAGATGAGTGATGTTTCTCTTTCTCCTGGCATACTCCCTTCCCCCCTATTTCCTTTTATGTTTTCTCTCTTTCCTATTCTCTTTTCCTCCTCTCGATTTCCCTCTTTTCCTTTCATCTGAGTCTGGCCCTATTTCCTAGGGGTAGGGTAAGTGGACGGGAGAATTTACGTTCTTTTCCTTAATACTTGCTCCTTTCCTGCTCTCTCCCTCCCTTTCTTCTGCCCCTCCCGTGTCTCTTCCTATTGTCTTTACCTTCAGCTTATGCCTTTATCGGCCTCCTATCTCCCCTCTTCCTTCTCTGTCTCTTTTTCCCTAACCTCACCTTTTTATAGGCTCCCCAAGTACTTTTGACTGTGTATGCAATCCACTCTGCCCAGGAAAATCTTTATCCGTCCCGCACCTAGTTTCTCCATTGCCTAAAGGTGTCTTACAAACTTTTTAGCATCATCACAGTTTAAGTATAACATACATTGATACCAGTCTGCTTCACGATGGCCTGCATTGCGTAGTGTTTTCACCACTATTTGGTTGCGTTGTGTGATTCTTCCATGTCAGTAATATACTTTCTTACAAAGTGCAACCACACATATTATATATTGTTTTTTAGAAGACAGATAGGGCTACATATTTATATCATTGTATTTATAAATACATTTCTTTGTCCCATATTTTTTTATTTTTTGACACTTTTTATTTTTTTACATTTTTCACTATTTTTTTAAACTTAAAAATTTTATTTTATTTATTTAATTATATCAAGCAGTCGTGAATTAATCTCACTATTACTGCTTGATAAATTAATAAATTTTTGGTTATCAGGCTGCTTCAAACTTCAGAACAGCCGATAATAAGTTAGTGACACTGATCCTGCAGGAGTTCAGGATTCAGCTGTCACTAGTTTTCTGATTGTTACAACAACCATCAGAAAACTGAAACATTCTTCTTTCAGGAATAGATACATTATGTATCCCTGAAAGTGAAAAAAAAAAGCCAGTATAGCTAGAGAGAGATATCTCTCGATCTATACGAGCTGTCAGAATGCCGGTAAAAGCCGGCATGTGTGCCCGCTCTGCTTTGACTCTCAGACACCGGATATTAAGGTATCGGGTGTCTGAAAAAGGTTAACCCTTTAATTAATGGATGCCTCTAAACTGAGGGATACATTAATGAATGGTAACCGCTGATTCTTAGCGGTTACCAGCCTTCTAGTGCAG